GTGGAAACCAACGCTTCCGATTATGCCATTGCGGCCATTCTCTCCATCCAGACTGTTGATGGTGAAATTCATCCCCTAGCTTTCCTTTCCAGAACTCTTCACGCTGCGGAGCTCAACTACGACACTCACGACAAAGAGCTCCTCGCCATCTTCGAAACCTTCAAAGCTTGGCGCCACTATCTGGAAGGTTCCAGCGATCTGGTGGAGGTCGTCACTGATCACAAAAATCTTGAGTATTTTTCTACTACCAAGATTCTCACCCGTCGACAGGTCCGTTGGTCAGAATACCTTTCCGACCGGGGAAGCTCGGCGAAAAACCTGGTTCAATAACTAGACGCTGGGACATCTATTCCAAAGAGGGGGATATCGGCTACGCGCAAGTCAACCCTCACAACTTCTGACCTATCTTCACTAATGAGCAACTCACTACTTCTCTTTGAGCTACCTTCTTAGAAGGCCCGATGCTCCGAGCCTCTATTGTTATGGATATCGAAGCTCTGCATCAAGCTATCATTCTCGCTCTTCCGAAGGACCTGAGCTCCGTTGTTGGTTTGGAACTTGCCAAAGATCCTTCCAATGAACGTTGGAGCTTAGGTAGTGATGGGTTATTATGCCTTGACGACCGTATTTATGTTCCTAATCACGGCGATTTTTGCCTTCAAGTTCTCCACTACTTTCACGATCACCCACTCTCCGGCCATTTCGGCCAGAACCGCACTTTAGAAGCAGTACATTGTCAATACACCTGGCCTAAGGTCAGAGACTTTGTTCGTGACTACGTTACTTCCTGCACTACTTGTGGTTGCAATAAGCCTCGCCGTCATCGGCCTTATGGTTTGTTGAAACCTCTGCCGGTTCCGGTCCGACCATGGGATTCCATCTCCATGGACTTCATTGAGCAACTGCCAATGTCGAATGGCTACACACCTATCCTAGTCGTCGTGGATCAATCATCCAAGCAGGCTATCTTATTCCAACTTTCAATACCATTACTTCCAAACAATTAGCTGAGCTCTTTGTAATTCACGTTTTTTCTAAGCATGGTGTTCCTAATCATGTCACTTCCGATCGTGGTTCCGAATTTGTTTCGGCATTTTTCCGGGCTCTCGGCAAAGTGCTTTCCATGGAACTTCACTATACCTCTGGATATCATCTGGAAGCCGATGGGCAGACTGAGCGTATCAACCAAACTCTCGAGCAGTACATCAGGATCTATTGCTCCTACCAACAAGATGACCGGTCGCACTTACTTCTGATTGCCGAGTTCGCCTATAACAACACTCCTAATGCTTCCATAGGTATTACTCCATTCTTCGCTAACAAAGGATACCATCCCAATATCACCGTTCGGCCCGAGGTCGACATGAAGTCTGATCTAGCCAGAGACTTTGTCATCAATCTCGATGAACTCCACGGTTTCCTTCGAGAGGAAATCCTTCTAGCTCAATCTCGTTACAAGGAACAAGCTGACAGGAAGAGAATCTCGCACCCGGAGTTCCCGATCGGCTCCGAAGTATTTGTTCTTGCTAAGCATATTCACTCTACTCATCCTACTGAAAAATTCTCAGAAAAATATCTTGGTCCTTTCAAGGTCATCAGTCGACCTGGTACTCTGTCTTACGAGCTCAAGCTCCCGGACTATCTTCGCCGCATTCACCCGGTTTTCCACGTCTCACAGCTGGAGCCGGTTACGCCAAACCCTTTCCCGAATCATACTCAATCTCCTCCACCTTCAATTGAAGTTGATGGTGAAGAGGAGTACAACGTAGCCAAAATTCTGGACTCCAAGCTGGACAGAAGGTACAAACGTTGTCCTCTACGTTACTATATTCGGTGGGCCAGTTACAAAGATACCGACAATGATTCTCTTGGGTTGCTGCTGATGAACTTCATGCCGACAAACTGGTACCCACTTTCCACGCTCGATACCCTCAGAAACCTGGACCTTGATCACAAAAAATCATTTTATTCCGCTTCCCGAAATTCCGCTCTCCGCCGAAGATTTCTTCGTTGCATCGAGAAGGTAAACACAATGATAGCAAATTGAGTGTTTATCTTCTTCCTTTTATTGCTTACTCTCCGTTCTAAGTTATAATTTACTCACACTTAAAACTACTTATACTTCAAACTAATTATGTCTTCCGCCGCTTCGCGGCCCATTCGCTTTCTGATTTCAAGATGCGATGACATTAATATATATATATATACAAAAAGCAAAAAAGAAAATATATGTAGAGGGGGCAGGAGGCTACAAGAAGACTACAAGAAAAGGCCGAAAGACCAAGGTCCGATGTCCGATTGTCCGTATGTTATCCTACACTACTCCTCCCTCTCCTTCCCTTTCTCCGACCAGGCCTTCTTTGGCGCCAGCTCGTTTTCTTCTTCTTCTTCTTCCACTTCCTCCCTTACCTTCTCCATTTCCCCTTCAATCTCCTTTTCTTCTTCCTCGTCACTATCTACTACCCTCCTTCTTTTCTTCGATGTTCCCGACGGCCCGGCCTCCTGCAGTTCAGGGGGTGATCTCCTTCTCCTAGCGGCATCCATTATCAACCAGTCCAACTTTCGGTTGAAGTGGCGATGGTAGGTATTTGCCTTTACCTGACCATCTCGGAGTTGTTGGTTGTCTGCGAGTAATTGAGCCACCTGGCTCTCAAGGACCACCAGGCACTCGCCGGACGGGTTCGCTCCTCCCTCTCGTTTCACCGTCGACGGCCGTCCGGAGTACGAGCATCGTACCTTTGCATCGGGATAGGGTTTACAAATAATTGAGCTCCTCTTGCCAGCCTGCATCTGGCAAGGGATCTTCTTGCTCCTGCATCGTTTGCAGGGAGCTTGTTCGTCTTCATTGTCGTTGTCATCCTCCCCATCACCACCGTCGTCGGGATCTCCGCCTACAGGCTATAAACAGAATTGTCAGTAAGGGTAAGGGATCGTGAAATTTCGTACTCACCTGGGCCTTGCCCTTTCCTCGCTCCTTCCTAATCTCCACCACCGGCTGCCGTGGTGACACCGAACTCTATCCTGGCAAAGAGCCCTGTAGACTACGAGCAGTGGCCGCCTCCGCCAGTTTCCTCCTCCTCTCCTCCAACTCCCGCTTGGCTGCCTCCTTCTGCTTCTGAGCCTCCTCAGCTGCCTTCTGGGCCGCCTCCTCCTCGGCCTTCTTGTTTGCCGCAGCTTTCCTCTCCTTCACCCTACGAACCTTTTCCTCCGCCCAACGGATTATCTCCTCTTTGTCTTCCTCCAAGTCTCCTCTTCGATGGGATCAGCAGGGGGCGGTGCTATTGGGCGGGACCTTGAAGGGTAGGGGGTGGACGAGGGTGTGGTGGTGACGGTCTGAGTGCGGCTGTGGGACATTGTCAACTTAGAAGTTTTGGGAACTTAGGCCCTTAGCGGCAAAACTCTGGGCCTTTTATAGGGCAAAACTGCGCATGGACCAGCAAAAATTTTCCGTCGAATTGTACTCGGCTTACGGTGAACCAACAAAATGTTCCTGATGACTAAAGGGATAAATGCCAGTGCTAACGGGATATAGAATTTTCTCTCTGGTGACTAATAGTATTTCCCGATACTAACGGCTTTCGAGGACTCAAGCCTAAGAGGGGGATACTGTCAAGTCCATGCCTCGGGCCTCCATTCCGCCGCTTGGTACCCCGAAGATCCACCATTTATTGTAATCTCACTCTTATTGTTCTTTCTCGCTACACATACCCTTTCGTTCTAGTCCCTCCTTATTGTCTTTTACTTTACCCTGCAGGTACTACACGTATAGCTCCTAGTAGTTAGTCTAGCACTCCGTAGATATAAATACTGCCTGTACCAGTTTAATTATCAACTTAGATCTCCCTTCTCAACTTAGCCCTTCTCTAAGTCTTCAGGCTCAACACCTTGAAGTACGTTATACTTTACCTTAGGACTTAAACGTTCTTTGGTTTGCTCCGACTTGGCTGCTACTAAGCTCCTCCTTTCTATACTCTTGATCTCCAGGGACTAACGGCGTAACGGCGGTGTTGTTAATAACTTCACTACTGTCCCACTCGACCTTCCGCCCTTAGACACCTTGTGGCCCTGGCATGGTTACACGGTGTACATGATCTTAACAGAAACCTGATCCAAAAATTCAGATCAACTCAACAGTTTATAATGGTGGCCTCCTTGATGATCTGGCAGCAACTCATAACTGGATATTTGTTAAACTGCCCCAACCTGCAGAAATGGAGCGCCTGAATATGCTTCACTATACCACTGCTCATGCTCGCACCTTACTACTTGCTTATCAACACTGGGAAGAATTTCTTAATGATGCCCCTGACAATTTGGCTGATGTGGACCAGTAAATTGTTCATCAAGCATGGACAGGTCTTTCTGTGGATGGAAAATCCAAAAAATCACAAGGAGCTGATGTCAATTATGAGGCAGTTAGTTTATTGGATAAAATCATGTTTGATGAATCCAGTAGGGCAGGAGTTGCAGGTAGTCATCAATGGGGCTTAGATGTTGGACCACATGAGATGGGTTGGAATCCACAGTTTACTGGCCCTAATGTAACTGTAGGAAAGAGGAGAGAAGGAAATGATGATGAAGAAGTAGTGGTATGATTTTTCCTCATCATAACTACTAACATTGATAATTTACAGAAAGGGAAAGGATATAATCATGAAGCTGAAGAGGTGTAAAGAGAGAAAGTAAAGCTTACTGAACCATCACACCAACAGCAGAAGAGAAAAGCAAAAGACATCAATATGGTCAAGGCAGTCAAGATGAGGAAGAAGCAGTAGATATAAACATCCATTAATTGCATGTATAGGACAGCACAATTCCGAAACCTGATATGATTGTAGTTAGAACCATATCTACTGAGCTAGTGTATACCAACCATTGCTTGTGTTATGTGATGGTACAGTCAAACTCTTGGAGATAAGCACATCAAATCAACAATACAATATTATACATTGACCATAAGCTTGCTGTGTAAATCCAGGATAAGGACTTTCCATGTTTTTCCACCTCATCATCTGTTTTCACTGCTACAGTATGTGATCTAGAAACTGGGAACATTATGATGAAGTGTTTCAGAAAGAGTCCCTGCATTTATTGCAATGGCAACCCATAGTTTTTCTTCTCCACATTCTCCCCTTGTCCAGTAAATGCAACACACTAGTTTACCAAAATGACTCCCTTCAATGATTGCCAGGAGTGATTTGCAAGTATGTGCTGGGGGAACCATGGGCCTTTGAACAACTGCAAGTTCAAGTTGTTCAGTATGCCCTCCCTGCTTCTTGAGTGATACAATTCCATTATCAACATATACCCATTTAGCATAACCTTCATGCAAGGAATGAGTGGGATCAATGAAAACAAGTGATTTTTGGTTAAGTATCCAGTGTAGATCTTGAGGCTTGATTTTCTCCAGAGGCTGTTGATAGTTGAAAAAATATATACTCGGGTAATTTCCAAGACATGGATGTAAGAAATATTGATTCACCTGAACACCCCGAAAGGTATCAAGAGTAACATCCGAGGCAGCAGGAAATGGTGTGGTGAAGCAGGAACAACTTCTGGCCCAGGCTGTGGAATATATGGTACATCAAGTTGTGGTGGAAAATAATCTGGCCGGAGATTGTAAGATGTTTGATATAGACCCAATGGTTGGACTTCAGCTAATGTCCGCCAATGTCTAAAGTACATAGCTATATCAAAAATAACACTTCAAATGGAGAGATAGACTCACTCAAATTCCCGGATACCATCATATTCCACAGTCACCAGAGAATTAGTGCCATTGTATGTGTGGGCTAAAAGTTCAACCACAATCTTCAATCTACTGATACTCAAATTGCTTGGATTGACATGGTGGACATAACCATGATAAGCCTTGTATTTGCCCTTGATTATGCAGATATGCATACCAATCCATGGTGGTGATGCTGTGTTCTATAACAGGCTTAGTATTCATGAAATGATAGATAATGAATAAACTCACAGAAACAGAATATGACATTTTGAAGACCACTGTCTGACAAAGTGACAGTGCAATGGTACAGCCTAGCAAGCTACTGTGTATAGAAATAACAGTCAGCCTTGAGGATGAAGAACATGCAACAAGATCACCTTGGAGTATGATCACACGGGGGGGATTTAGTCAAAATTGAATGATGCAGTCATTGTTATTTAAGAATACAAAATATTTGAAACTAACTCAAAATTTGCAATTTAATTTTGAGTGGAGCCGGAACACATCCGGAACGCACCTGAACCCATGGAATGCAGGTGAACGCCAAGATCAAAAATGAATGCATATAAGGTGAACGCACCTGAAAGCATATGGACGCAACATCAATTCATCAAATTTGCTTTCATATATGGATTGCATTCAGAGTTTACATAAGTATTGTTAAATTTCAATCTTTTGACTGAAATGTAACTATTGTTCCACTAACATACTGTGCAGTCTATGCACACATTAACTACAGTACAATTGAAATAGTTAAAAATTGAACACTAAAATCATATTATTGTACATAATATAAATATATGAGCACACAAGCTTTAGAACCCGTGCCTATGCCACGGTGGCTCGCAAATCTCGCACCTCACTCCAGCCGGGTTCATAGCTTGTTGGGGGCAAGCCCCCAAGCCCCTATTTGTTGTCGCTTCACTTCTCCACATGATATACTTGTTATTTCACTCCTCACTCAAACAAATAATAGATATTGTGCTAGACATAGTGCTTGACATTTAACATTTGGTCATTTATTTTGAAAGAACCTCTGGGATAGGATGAATTGGAGATAGTATGAATCAGACCTCACAATATAATTTCTATGTTCTAAATCAGACATTGCTTAAGTAATCTATGCAGCCTCAAAAATTTGTATAATACAAAGCAACAAACAACTTGACCTTTGGATTAAATAGCTTTGACCCCTTGTCTTGTTGTAGAGCATATGAGTGCAGTCTGTGCAGATTTAAGGCTATTTTATTCACTAATTGTCATTGGGATTTGTTGATTGAGCATTTGCAAAAGCAAGACAGACTGGAAATTGATGTCTCTTCATTGTAAATGGCAGGTTCATCCAAATTTGAAATTATTAATGCTTGTAAGACCCGGGTCAGAATTGGTCTTGAGGGTGGGATTGGTATAAGGGATTTATGTTGTAGCATGCTAGGAGCAAGCTGGAGCTCGAAGGGAGCTACGGGAACTGCGACCGAGGACAGGGATGACCTAGTAATAGTTCTGATTGAGAGAAGTGACCCTTGAAGGGGTTCTTAGGAGGTCCTGGGAGGTCCCTAGGATGACAACTGGTGGAGACGGAGATAACCAGGAGCTAGGGGACGTTGGAATGTTGCAGAGTACAAACTGTAGTAGCTAGGAATGTCAACGTAGGATCGTTATAGCTAGTAGTTGATGTGAGCTTCAAACGTGAGAGCTCCGGATAGAGTGTAAGCCCAGGAAGGAGGTCCCGGGAAGTGGGAGTTAGCAGTGGAGGTGGTAATGGAGAAGCGGCATGTAGTTTGACATGAGGAGTAGCTTCAACATTACCTAAGTCAAGATCCCAGAGCTTGGGGAGGTTGACTCACCAAAATGATAGATGTTGGGGAGCTTGAAGACTTACTCAGATCACTTAGATGTGAAGTAAAAGCGTATATTGGATTGTGTAGACGATCATAGAGATGAGAGATAAAAGTAGAGAGATTGAGATAAAGAAACAGAGAGTAAAGAGAAATCCATATAGTTAGCAGGTACAAAGGGACAGGGACTGGACCTATGCAAAAGGGTGTGTGTTCAAAATATAAACAAGCTGCCATTTGGGGCACTATGGGACTGCTTAAATGGGTACAGAGAAGTAAACATTGAAATAGTATATAAACTGGACAATCGAGATTGATTATGAATGGGGATAGAGTGTTGTGTGTAATTGGGGAGGTCCCTAGTCTCTTAAGGTGGTGGTAACGCCAGTGGTCCGGGAGCTGCTGTGAGTATCAAAGGATGGGGTGGGGGTAGATGTGAGGGGTTAGTGTGAGGCTGAAAAGGAGGGTGGAGGTCGGGGGAGGCTGTTAAGAAGCTCAGGGGAAGTGGGAAGTCGGTCATGGCATGACAGTGTTATGCATGGTTTAAGTCCTGTGTCTTCTGCATTGTCACCTCCTGGTATTCTAATATCTAGAACCAGGGAAGTGCAGTGGATCAAACTTGCTCTGGTGACATTGGCATCTGGAAAAGCTGGGATTTTGGCTAAGATCTGGGAGCATCTAATAGTGCTTCCCAGCAATGAAAGCATCCCCAGCAGTCTGTCCAAATTTGCTCAGAGTACTTTTGCTGCTGGGTGCTAGCCAAAAATCTAGCTTTCGCAGATGTGGATCCCACTTACAGAGAATCAGCAATGGTGTTCCAACCTTCAGCCTCAAATGGGAGATGTAAAGCCCAGAGTCATTGTTGCTATTCAGATGCTTGACACTGGTTGGACACTGAAATTCTCCATCAGCATTCTCAACCATTACAGCTCTGTCAGAACTGTGATAGGTATGAGTATCTCCAGACATTGTGTTTAGGAATGCAAAATTGAGATTATCATTTCTGGGACAAAGAATGGTTCACTCCAGGAACCAACTGTTATTAGAATAATTGGGCAAAAAGATTACTTACATGGAAGCAGTTAGATGTCTCTAAAATAGTACAGAAAATGAGAGCTGCAAGGAAATTTATCTGAAGGGTATTCAACATGAAGGAAAGTGGCTGTGCCGCGCTGCTCTGCAGCAGATTTCTGAGTGCTTCATGCAGAGGATCCACAGCCACTTTGCAGCAATATTGCTTTGTCACCATTACCAATACTCTGTGTGTCTGATATGAGTGCCCCCAGGAAATTTAATATATAGGATATGAACACACAAAATGCGAACGTGAATGCAGAATGCACTGACGGAATGCAAAATTCTACCTACTGCCACACTTGATGCCCTTACAAACCTGGACCTTGATCATCAAAAGCATTTTCTCCTTTCCCCCAAATTCTGATTTCCACCAAAGCTTACTTCATTGCATCAAGAGGGTAAACACAATGATAGCAAATTGAGTGTTTACCTTCTCCCTTGTACTGTCTATTTACCTCTACAGTTTTCATCTCATATCTTTTAAATCATCAATCACTTCCACTTAAATTACTGATTGGATTAATTACTTTTCTTTTGCCAACCCATGGCCCAAAGATGAATTTTTTGTTGTACAAATTCAAGTATATATAAAAAAAGGAAGTAAGAGGGCAAGAAGACAACACAAAGCCAATTTCAATGTCCAAGGTCTACACTACTCCTCCCTTTCCTTTCCCTTCTCAAACCAGGCCTTCTTTGGCACTGGCTCCTTGTTTACCTCCTCTTCTTCCTCTCCCTCCTTCTCCACTTCTTCATCTCCTCCATTCTTCTCGACTCCTTCTTGATCTTCCTTCTCCCCTTCCTTGCTCTCTTGGATCACTCTGTGCCTGTTCCTCAATAATCTTGACAGCCCACCAATTGTTGGCCCACCAGTGCTCCCTCTCCCTACTCTCACCTCTATCATCAACCAGTTCAATTTCTTCGTTATTTGGCACTGGTAGGCATCACCCTGGGTTAGTGCATCCCACATTTGCCAATCGTTGGCAAGAGATTGGGCCGTCTTGCTTTCTAGAATGGCTAGGCGTTCACCAGATGGGTTGGAAGTTCCTTCCCACCTCTTGCCTACCTGCATCAGACAAGGGATCCATTTGGTGTGGCATCACTTGCAGGGTGCATATGTCACAAAGCAGCAGTGGTGGAGTGACTAAGCAGAGCAGGGAGGCAGAGCGACTGAGCAGAGTGGTAATGCGGAGCAACTAAGCAGAGCAGAGATGGACTGGTCCCAAGATAATGACAGAGGTATATTGAGTATCATAGTCATAGGTAATAATAAGTAACACATACCTGGTCCCAAGATAATGACAGAGAGGTCAAGAGAAGGGACAGGCTGTAGGGGGTTGGCTATTTATATATAATTCGATCTGTGAGAAATGATGATGTAATGCTGTACAGTTTAGGAACCAGGAAGGCGGCGGAAGCCAGTACAAGGAGAAGGGTAACAGGTGGATCAGTAATCAATGATGGGGGTCAGGTGGATCAGTAATCAATGATGGGGGTCAGGTGGATCAGTAATCAATGGGATTTGGTAGTGATGTAATTGTACAAGTAAAGGCATTGAAACAGTGAGAGAAGGAAAATGATAGGGGCTACGTACTTCATGACATTACCACCCTTCTTATGACCATTGCCCTTGATGGTCAAGCCTTTGCTGCTGTGGGGTGTTTCTTGTAGAAGGCTCAAATGATCTTTGGAGCACGTCTGAGGTTGGGCACTGGCTCCCAGGAATTATGCCCTGCATTGTAACCCTTCCACTTAACCAGGGTATTCCAACCTCTTCCACTGGACCCAACTATCTAGAATTTCCTCTACTTCATATTCCAGTTCATCTTCATCTTCTAGGTAGACCGGCTCTGGTGGTGTTGGTATTTCTCCATTGATGGTGTTACCTTTCCAGGGATAGAGTTTGTCAACATGAAAGATGGGGTGAATGTGGTTGAGGGAGATAGGCAGGTCAAGGTGGTAGTCCAGGGGTCCAATCTTTTCTAAGATTTGGTAAGGTCCAAGCTGCCAATCTCCTAGTTTCTCACTGGATAGTTAGAGGTTGATGTCCTCCACGCTGAGCCAGACAAATTTTCTGACTTGAAACTGGTGAGCTTTCCATTTCCCTTGTTTGTATCCCTCTTTTTGCTGCTTTTTCCCGAAGTGCAAGGCAGCCCCTGCATCCTGATGGGCTTCTCGGAGTATCCGTATGCAGTCATCTACAACTGGGATCCCACTGCGTTGTCCCACTGGGATGTTGAACAAGAGGAGATATCCATAGGTTAACCCGAATGGGGACATGCCTAGTGCAGAATGGGTTTGTGAACTGATTACAAACTCTGCCATGGGAAGGTGTTCCTGCCCAGTCTGCATTCAGTTTGACCATTAGACTGAGGACGATACTGTTGTGCCTCACCCCGAATCACAAAGCCCATAAACTCCATAACATAGTTCCCGACCTCCTCAGCCCCCTTCCCTGAACCCCTGAGAACACTCCCAATGTCCCGCAGACCTCGTTACTGCTAGAACAACCTCCACGATCCTTAGTTCCCTTCAATTCAACCAAACAACTCCACGACAGGGTCCTGGAACCCCGTACATGCACCCCTCATTCCGTCCTCATGTACTTAGAAACCCCATTCAGTGCTCGTTTCATACTATGTCCCTTTGTTAACTTCCCTATACGTATTTAAGCAGTCCCGTAGTGTTCAGAAGCCCAGCTTGGTATATTTTGAACACACACCCTTTGCATAGGTCTAGTCCCTGTCCCTTTGTACCTGCTACCTATACAGATTTCTCTTTACTCTTAGTTTCTCTCTACTCTTGTCCATTGTCTCTATGATCGTCTCGACAATCCAATATATGCTTTTACTTCATGTCTAAGCAATCTGAGTGAGTCTCCGAGCTCCCTCAAACAGTACTAAAGCTCCCCAACGCCTAAAGCCTTGGTGAGCTAACCTCCCCAAAACCTCCTCAAGCTTTGGGACCTCAATCTAGGTAACATCGAAGTTACCTCCTATGTCGAACTACGTATCGCTTCTCCT